AAAAAAAAAAAAAACTGACCACAAGATTTTTTCTTTCACAGTACTTTTACTGCGAAGTGCCTCCAGCCCCAAAAATCATTATATCTGCCCCTGCTCTGAGCGCTCTCAGGTGAAAAAGAACTTCTGAAGGAAAGTTCACGCCATGCTTTGACCATTGCAGATTGAATGAACCCACAACAATCAGCTGGCTAATGGTTATTTTTATTTATTGTCCGATATTTGTATCATTTAGTTATCTCCGTGCGCGGGCTGCATAAATAAATATACCTGGGTAAGGAGAGAAACTTGCTAGTCAGTGGAAAACTGCATTTCTCCGTGGTGGACTTTCGCTAGATATTTCAGATTGCTGGTGTTTCCACCCTTACATGCAAAAGACTGGAAGGGAACCTGGAGCGATTTGTGTTCATGGTGCAAACCGTATTGCGGACTTGAAACGAACCGAACTGAGACCACTTCTGAGGGTGGTCTCAGTTCGTAGGGAGTGTTCACATTTACAATGCTGACTAATCGCTCTGAGCTCGTTTTGAGGGCTGAAAAAGACCAAGTGTGCAAACACCCTGAAGCACTTTTAGATCTCCCCCACATCAGGCAAACCATACTGTGGAACTTTATGGAACGTTTCCTAAGGTGGGACAATGAAAAAATGAATTGAAATAAAAAATATTATGTATATTTAGCCTAGCGGAAGTAGTTATTCTTCTTCCTGTTTAGTTGTTTTTGGCGCGGAGACAGAGAGCTGCAGCACCCTTTACCGTAGCGTAGCGTGCACTGGATAACAAACAGCCATTGGAATTCACTCAAAACGGACCCACGCCTGAAATAATCTTCAATTATTCCATCCATCTGAACTGTGTGGTGTGAAAGGTGCTGTAGCGTTAGCTCTCAGTCTCCGCGACAAAACACGAAGAAGAATAACTACTTCCGGTTGACAGGCTTACGTCAAGAGTCTTTGAGCTATGTAGGAATTTCGACATAGATAAGTCGGAATTTCGATTTAGCTATCTAGTTATTTCTACTTAGCTAAGTCGAAATTTCGACTTAGGGAAGTGTAAGTAGGAATTCCGACATATCTAAGTCGGAATTCCGACTTAGATATGTCGGAATTTCTACTTAGCTAAGTAGAAATAACGACTTATAGCGTTGTATTTCTCATTTAACTGGCGGGAATGGGCTTCCATATATATCCCTTATTATATTTTTAAGAACAAACATATAAACACAACTTGTTAAAACTGGCAGGATTATTTTATTTAAAATAAATGTCTTCACAGTGGGTGCTTCCTCTATGAGAATTACTGCACTATAATCTATGACTGAATATTTGAGAATTCAATATGACTTTGATAACATGACATCACAGGTTGTGCTAACCCATAGTTTCACTGACTCATTTGTTTGAGGAAGACCTGCAACTGGAGTTTAGGTGTCCCACATTAGGCAGTATTCATTAAGGCGGTTCACCCTAGGCTTTAGGCATATGGAAAAATGCTGACATTTATAATATTAATTTCTTCTCTTAATACTCCTGATGGAAAAGCTAAAGTGTTTCACTAGAAAAAAAAATAATGTGCTCCCTGTTACATAAGAATGAGGAACTAAAGGCGATGAGGGAAGAAAAACGGCTCGCGTTAGATCCCAGAACTCGGGAGTAGACTCTACGAGACGTGAAGTCATTTACCTATTCCCGACGAGTCTTGGAATCTAATGCTTACCGATGAAATACCTACAGGGGGCGTTCCCCGCCCCCAAAACAAGAAGGCACCTGGCGAAATCACTACCGAACGAACTGAAACACACAAACAGAGGTACGAAGAGCCGTTTTTCTCATTCTGTTCTAACTTATATTCCATAAAAGATATTGAAAGGTATAATTGAACCCAGTCTTAATATAGTCCGTGAAGTTAGTAAAATTCTGTTTTCAACCGGCGGAGTCACTCCGGAGTTTCACTCTATGTTTCGTGTAGCCGGCAGTGCCAGGAAATACTCGACTCATTCTGGTGTGTGTGTGTGTGTGTTTTGAACAAAGAGCGCAGTCATGTTGTCCTTTTGTCCCGTCCGGTCCTGGCGGACTTTGGTTTTAGCTCAGGGTAGCATTTATTATATGTTAATTAATGTCAGATATTACATAGAGAGTGGTCATATTTAAAAAGACACCATTTGTACTTATTTATCTCCGTCGCACCTGATACCTATACACACGATAACACTATTCAAACACTGGACAGTAACCTAACAATAACAATGACTCACATGGCCACACTGTCATGTTTTAATCTGATGAGGTTTCGTATAGGGTATATAACAATATAAGGAGTAAAGCACTCAGTTTTTACATGGAACCAGCATAAACCCATTCTACTTCTATAGACTCTAGGAACCACAAGTAGACCTGCACTCTGAGAGCAAAGTGCTCTGTTGGGATGATAAGGCTCTATGAGGTCTATAAGATACGATGGAGCCTTGTCATTAAGGGCTTTGTATGTTAGGAGAAGGATTTTAAATTATATTCGGGATTTTACAAGGAGGAAGCAGAGAGAAGCTAATATGAGAGAGATACATATGATCTCTCTTGCTAGTACTCTGACTGCACGATTTTGGTTTAACTGAAGGCATTTTAGGGAATTATTGGGACATCCGGATAGTAAAGAGTTACAGTAGTCCAGCCTGGAAGTAACAAATGCATGGACCAATTTTTCAGCATCACTTGAGATGGGATGTTCCTCATTTTGCTGATATTGTGTAGGTGAAAGAAGGCAGTTCTAGAGACTTGGTTTATATATGATCAAAAGGACATACGCTCCAAGATTCCTGACAGCAGTATGAGAGGCCAGGGCTATTCCATCCAAAGAAACTATATGGTTAGATAGCAGATTTCTAAGGTTTTTAGGCCCAAGTACACTAACTTTGGTTTTATCCCAGTTGAGGAGTAAAACAATTACAGGTCATTCAGGCCTTCATGTCTTTAAGACATACTTGAAGTTTGACCAACTGATCTGAGTCATCTGGGTTCACAGATAGATATAACTGAGTATCATCTGTGTAACAATAGAAATATATGCCATGTTTCCTAATAATATTGCCTAAAGGGAAGAGAATTGGACCTAGCACAGAGCGCTGTGCAAAACTGTGACTAACTTTAGTCTGTGTGGAAGAGTCATCATTAACATGAACAAACTGGAATCTACCTGATAAATAGGATTTGAACCAACATAGAGGAGATCATTGGTGACTTTCACCAGCGCAGTTTCTGTATTACAGTGGACTAAATTCTGACTGAAAATCCTCAAAAAAATCATTGTACTTGATGATACATCTGTGAGTGTTGAGGGAAGGATTTGATAAATGTATTTCTATTATTGTGATTTTATTTGTAAAGAATCTCATAAGGTCAATACTGCTGAGATCTAATTGGTAAAACACACTGGAATCAAGATGTAAGCGCTGCTAAAATGTGATTCCATTCAAGTTACTTTGAAAGCGAGATGTGAACGGTACGTTCTGTGTGTTTAAAGTGATCAGAACAATAATCTGTCTGTCAGCAGGACAGCAGCGGGACAAATAGTTTTCACCAGGCTGACCAACAATGCAAATGTACTTTACAAAAATTGTTTTTACCTAAGATAATCAGGAAGAAATCATGTTTTATGTGGTCTATTGATATATTGATGTTATTGATTTTCCCTGGCTCCTTACAAAAGGAGAAAGTGAAAGTGAAACTTAAGCAACCAAAATCAGTCATAACAGATACTATTAGAAACAGCAAGCAACAGGATTTGTGTGCTTTAAACAGCTGACTGTGGAGATTACACTTCACTAAATGCAGCAGAGGGGGGAAAAATAGATATGAAGCATTAAAAACAAGGATTCTACAGGCGACGTGTGGATTGACACATTTGATATAAGGGAATTCTGTGCTCAAGTGAGCCATTGACTGCAAAAACCCAGCCATGTGAGCTACCATTCCAGTTTTGTTGCGCTTCTTATTGTGCAATTATGGTAGGGGTCCAGTCATAATGGATGTTTAAATTGCCCATAGCATGCTTAGTTTCAGCCATTTAATTTTTATTCTTGGGTAGTATGGACAATGAGAATGACAAAATTGTATACTGTTGACACATACATCAGTCATCATTCGCACAGTACTGGGCATCAAACTTCGATACTTTTATGGCATTGAATCACATCATTACCACTGAATATTGAAAAATGTCAAGTATCAGCAAATGCTTTTCTACATTTTTAGTTATTAGTTAATGTTAACATACCGTAAGGTTGTCATAAATTGGTTTAGTTTTTATGTTATGAAACTGCTTGGTGTTTTTGTAGGTTCCTCTGTGTGCTGTTTGTACACCAAGCGCTTCCATTCCTAAAGCTGCAGGGTTGGGCAGCCACACCCCTCTATACTTTACACGGCCTGCGTTCACGGCAGTGCTTCTTGGTGGGGGATTTCCACCTCTCGTGATGGGCCAGCTCCATCATAATTGTCAGTTCAGTTTTATTATTTGACAGAAACATAACTCAAAACACACTCACTCAAGGCGTTAAAGGTCAGCTACTGTTCCAACAGACCCAGTTTCATCAAGGAGCTCCCAGAGGCGCTTCCTCTCAAAAGATTCCCTTGCTGGTATTTATTGCCTTTTAAAGATGGTTTTCACTTAATACAAAAGACTTTGTGCCTGTGTGTGTTTGTGCCTTATTTTAGGGATGTCGCAGTCTGTAGGCCGGCCTCCCTCTGTATCCTCCATCAGTTCCATCTCTCTGGTGGAGATCAAGGCTGACACCCGCCTAGTCCTCCAAGCCTTCCTCCATAGAACCCTCACTCTTCCCCTGAAAGACAGGCCAGGTAGAGTCGGAGGTGCCTACCGAGATCACAGCACATACAGGTAATGGAACTCACCAGTCTGTGCTCCTTTTTGTTTGTCACTGTTCACAACAGTATACTCCTCTCCATTTACCTCAGACGTGCTGCTGATGTCCAAAAATATCAAATAGAATTTTTAATCTCTGCAACAATTTATTTTATTTATCGGTCTACCGTATGTATTTCTTTTAAGCTCTAACTGATTAAGGTCAGTCTCTGTGAATAAAAGAGGAGGAAAGAAGCAGCCTGGTCTACTTCCTCTGTGAAGAGGGAGGATAAATCAAAGAAACATTATTAGTGCGCATAACAGTCATGTAGGAAAATCAAGAGTTTTCAGCCATGAAATGACGTGAAATGTCAGGCATCTTCTCTTGAGGGAGCCAAAAGCTTCCTCAGCGTAGAGTGAGAGTTTCATAATTTTCCATTTATAACTCGAGCTCTTTGATTTTCTGCCGTATCACATATGAGCCGCTGTGGCGACCCCAAACGATGGGGGAGCAGCGGAAAAAGGACCAGCATCTCAGGACATTTAATGTGAAGGTCCAGACCAGGGTTTTCATCTGTTTGGTATTTTTACACCAGAAGGTACTGGTTTAAACAAATAGTATTATTTAAATCTGTACTAAGTGAGTTGTTTGGATATTAGATGCAATCCTGGGGAATAACAGCGCTTAGTTTTGTGAGCCTGTGTCTGAATTTACAGTGTAAGCACAACAGCTCATTTACATTATCATTGTGTTTTGGCTGTATTTGAATATAAGAAAATGTTTTCTGCTTCTGAACTTCTCTGTCATCACTTTTTGTAAAAGTTAGTACAGGTTTGCACAACTGCTATCATTAACCTTTGTGTTCATGACAGTAATGTCAGTAATGATTTCCTCTGGTAAATTAAACATAGTGATCACAGAGAGCAAGAGGAGACTGAATATATCACTTCATCTGACTCTGGTTCATTGTTATCAATCATAAATGAATATTAAATATAAATATATCAAGCGGATGGTAAAAAGTGCTTGATTCCAGCAAAGGCTCTCTGAGTATGTTGAGCCTGAATTATGTTTGTTTACTGTGAATGTCAGCAGCCATCATTTCTTTTATTTAACAATGGACCTTGTTACTTTAACTGTGCTTATACAGTACATTAACAAAAGTAATAGAGATCTATGCAGATGCATCAATATGTGTTGGATGAGATACCTACCCCAGTCCTGCTATTCACCATATTTTGCTGCTTTCTCATTCTAGCTCCAAGTCACAATCAAAAGCAAAGAATGTGTTGGATTCCCAAGCTGAAGATGTCAGTTCAGCAGATGAGAAAAAGACAGGATTTAAAGATTTCATAAAGCAGCTGCCTCGTCGTAACACCCCACGCCGCTCTGCCAAAGACCATAAAGGCTCATTGGAAAAGGACAGCAAGTCAAAAGCCTCACACCCCAGAGATCAAACAGAAGTAAGGAAGTATTTTATTATTGGGCACTAGGCCCCAGTAAAAAAAATAAAGTTACATTTTCCTTGTTGATTTAAGCTCAGCTGCAGCCATAGTCCCACAACTAGAAGGACAAGAGTGATGAGGGTATTGACAGGCTGGCCCGTGTGTCAGCCTCTGTTCAGCATCATCCAGGTCAGGGTATATCCAGAAGTGCTAGATGTATAGGTGCTAGCTGGACTTGCTTGAGGAACTGAAGAAATGTAGATGAACCAATTAACAACAATCCAGTCATTTACAAATCATTACTGTGATTAGTGAATTCATACAGAGGTGTAGTAAATCAGCATGAATGAGTTCAGCTTTGGCTATCTCTGATGGGCTTTGACAGCTGACCAATTGCAAACCGTTCTGACATCACTGACTTTTGAGGGAATAAAAAGCTGGAGAGTACAAAACAGTACAAAATACTCTTATCAAGATTATTTTAAACAAGTTTGATATTTACAACTGGAATCAGGACACTGACATCATTTGTATGTGAGCAGGACACAAGTACTTACAAAAACAAAAAACACTGGTGAGCAAACTAGTGGGATGTGCAAAGTAGCTATAATGCTCAAAATGGATTTTTTTCTAGATCAATACTATCATAGACAGTAATACAGAACTACAGAGATTATAATATACAGTAGGACCACATGGAAAATGTATTGGTGGGACAGGTGTGGCTCAGGAGGTGGTTGTCCTCTAGGCTGGAGGTTGGCAGTTCAGTTACCTAGCTCATTCTGTAAAGGGCTTTGCTCGTTATTGTAGAGACTGTTTCTCATCCTTTGCGTCATTCAATCATGATGATACAAATTTTTAAGCAAAATGCAAAAAATGTTTTATTATTATAAGCCCTGTACAAACTTAGAGAGTGGGTAGAATTTAATGACATTAGAGTTAGTGTTGTCTACTTTGCATTTTAGAACATTTTAAAATATTCCCACCATAACTTGTATATTTCTCTATCTGTATTCAATGTATACATCATGACTTTATCTGTGTAACAGCCTGTATCTGATGTGTGTGTCATACTGTAAATAGTTTGCCTACAGTTATCTACGTTTACATTACCACTTCTTTTACCAAAAAGCAAGCTAATCTTTTTCCAGTTACCTGGAGAGAATGGTATATTCTCTACATATACAGCATATTAGATGAACTACATTAGAATCACCATAGCCGTAATGTTGAACAGAAGAACTTGTTCCCACAGGAGGATGTAATTTCCCCCTCTTCATCAGAAGGTGAGGATGGTGAAAAGAAGCCAGAGAAGCTGAACCGAAAGAAGATTAAAAAAAAGATCTCCCAGTTTTTCAAGAAAAGGTTAGAGAAAGAGAAGGACAAGAACAAAGAGAGGCCTTCCACATTGTCAATCCAAAAAGGACCAGAACCTGTGCCAACCATCCCCTCTCCTAGTAAGCGCCTTCACTACACCATGAAACCACACAATCCAGCTTTAACTGCAGTCATTTATCTGTTTGCTGCCAAGTCTAAAATTAAAATGCAAATGTGAAAATTTCCATCGCTGTGTCCACTATAATAATTTGTATGTTGAAGCTGAACCGTATGGTGTGTTAGTGGTTGTGACCTGTGTTCTTGTGTGCATGTGAAGATACTAACTGATGTCAAACAAAGGTTTTCATCTGAGACATTTGTGGTATTATGGTAAATGTTTATATAGATCACCCTCCTGAGTTCTATAATGGGGTAGCACAGAAGCTGGAAAAGATTGCCCAGAGGTCCTCTACTAAAAAGAAGCTGAGTCCCACAGCCCCACCTTCATCAGGTAAACACACACACACACTCACTCAAACACGCTGTCCTTTCATTCCTTGTAGGGACTTTACATTGACTTACATTCATTTCCTATAGACTTATCCTAACCTTAACCATAACCACTACTTGCCTAACACCTGACCCTGACCTTAACCTAACCTTAAACCATATTGCCACCCTAAAAGCCAGTGATTTTCTTGTGGGGACTGGAGGCTGGTACCCACAAGGATGGCCGAGTCCCCACAATGTGACTGTGTTAACCTGTTTCGGTCCCCATAATGTAAGTAATACAAAGGTACATGCACACACTGTGCAGCCAGTAGATCTGTGTAATGGGTTTAAACAGAAATATTAGCAAATCCATCAGTTTAAAGTTTATACTGTATGAAATGATGGTACATGTTCATAAATCTGCAACATCTGATTTGCACAGTGCTCTTAAGCACAGCCTTCCACTGTGTGTACCTTTATTAAATCACCATCAAATGACAACTAATCTGCTGCAACATAACAACCTCTACACACGTCAGACTAGTTGGCTATACAGTTACTCTGTATTCTGCTGTTGATGCAGGCAGTGTTAATCCTGTGCATCAGTGCCTCCGTTCCAACTTTTTTAAAAAGGTATTAGTGCCTTGGTTTATTCTTTACATACAGAATAACACAAACTATATTGTGTCACATTATGAGATATGATGTACCATTTACAATGTGAAATGCAGTAGAATTTTGACTGAAATAGAGTCCATTTGATGTGATCATATAAACTGGATGTTAAATTGTTATTATTTCTTCTACCAAACAAGAATAAAAAACACCAAAGCAGCTTTCTCTGGCTACAGATTTGTGGGGCTGTGTTCATGTTGTGCCACTCTGCACCATTCAGATAGTGCGTCACTGTGATTGCCTCAGCTGTTCCAGAGTGATGTGACTGGCTGAGA